GTGATGTCAACCCTTGTTGGGTTATTTTATGTTGAATTTTGTATGGGACAGCGAGTGAGGATCAAACCTGCTCCTCAGTAGTAATAGTTACGGTGGTTGATTTTACGTGATGTCAACCCTTGTTCGGTTATTTTATGTTGAATTTTGTATGGGACAGCGAGTGAGGATCAAACTTGCTCCTCAGTAGTAATAGTTAGGGTGGTTGATTTTACGTGATGTCAACCCTTGTTGGGTTATTTTATGTTGAATTTTGTATGGGACAGCGAGTGAGGATCAAACCTGCTCCTCAGTAGTAATAGTTACGGTGGTTGATTTTACGTGATGTCAACCCTTGTTGGGTTATTTTATGTTGAATTTGTATGGGACAGCGAGTGAGGATCAAACTTGCTCCTCAGTAGTAATAGTTACGGTGGGTGGTTGATTTTACGTGATGTCAACCCTTGTTGGGTTATTTTTTTATGTTGAATTTTGTATGGGATAGCGAGTGAGGATCAAACCTGCTCCTCAGTAGTAATAGTTACGGTGGTTGATTTTACGTGATGTCAACCCTTGTTGGGTTATTTTATGTTGAATTTTGTATGGGAAAGCGAGTGAGGATCAAACTTGCTCCTCAGTAGTAATAGTTAGGGTGGTTGATTTTACGTGATGTCAACCCTTGTTGGGTTATTTTATGTTGAATTTTGTATGGGATAAAGCGAGTGAGGATCAAACCTGCTCCTCAACCCTGTTCGGTTATTTTAGTAATAGTTAGTAATAGGGTGGTTGATTTTACGTGATGTCAACCCTTGTTGGGTTATTTTATGTTGAATTTTGTATGGGACAGCGAGTGAGGATCAAACCTGCTCCTCAGTCAAGTAATAGTTACGGTGGTTGATTTTACGTGATGTCAACCCTTGTTGGGTTATTTTATGTTGAATTTTGTATGGGACACCGAGTGAGGATCAAACCTGCTCCTCAGTAGTAATAGTTACGGTGGTTGATTTTACGTGATGTCAACCCTTGTTGGGTTATTTTATGTTGAATTTTGTATGGGATTTAAAAGGAGTGAGGATCAAACTTGCTCCTCAGTAGTAATAGTTAGGGTGGTTGATTTTACGTGATGTCAACCCTTGTTGGGTTATTTTATGTTGAATTTTGTATGGGACAGCGAGTGAGGATCAAACCTGCTCCTCAGTAGTAATAGTTACGGTGGTTGATTTTACGTGATGTCAACCCTTGTTGGGTTATTTTATGTTGAATTTTGTATGGGATAAAGCGAGTGAGGATCAAACCTGCTCCTCAGTAGTAATAGTTACGGTGGTTGATTTTTACGTGATGTCAACCCTTGTTGGGTTATTTTATGTTGAATTTTGTATGAGACAGCGAGTGAGGATCAAACTTGCTCCTCAGTAGTAATAGATTTTACGATGGGTGGTTGATTTTACGTGATGTCAACCCTTGTTGGGTTATTTTTTATGTTGAATTTTGTATGGGACAGCGAGTGAGGATCAAACCTGCTCCTCAGTAGTAATAGTTACGGTGGTTGATTTTACGTGATGTCAACCCTTGTTGGGTTATTTTATGTTGAATTTTGTATGGGACAGCGAGTGAGGATCAAACCTGCTCCTCAGTAGTAATAGTTACGGTGGTTGATTTTACGTGATGTCAACCCTTGTTGGGTTATTTTATGTTGAATTTTGTATGGGACAGCGAGTGAGGATCAAACCTGCTCCTCAGTAGTAATAGTTACGGTGGTTGATTTTACGTGATGTCAACCCTTGTTGGGTTATTTTATTTTTTATGTTGAATTTTGTATGGGACATGTTGAATTTTTATGGGATAAAGGAGTGAGGATCAAACCTGCTCCTCAGTAGTAATAGTTAGGGTGGTTGATTTTACGTGATGTCAACCCTTGTTGGGTTATTTTATGTTGAATTTTTTGTATGGGACAGCGAGGAGGATCAAACTTGCTCCTCAGTAGTAATAGTTAGGGTGGTTGATTTTACGTGATGTCAACCCTTGTTGGGTTATTTTATGTTGAATTTTGTATGGGACACCGAGTGAGGATCAAACCTGCTCCTCAGTAGTAATAGTTACGGTGGTTGATTTTACGTGATGTCAACCCTTGTTGGGTTATTTTATGTTGAATTTTGTATGGGACAGCGAGTGAGGATCAAACTTGCTCCTCAGTAGTAATAGTTAGGGTGGTTGATTTTACGTGATGTCAACCCTTGTTGGGTTATTTTATGTTGAATTTTGTATGGGACACCGAGTGAGGATCAAACCTGCTCCTCAGTAGTAATAGTTACGGTGGTTGATTTTACGTGATGTCAACCCTTAATGGGTTATTATATGTTGAATTTTGTATGGGACAGCGAGTGAGGATCAAACCTGCTCCTCCGTAGTAATAGTGAGGGTGGTTGATTTTACGTGATGTCAACCCTTGTTGGGTTATTTTATGTTGAATTTTGTATGGGACAGCGAGTGAGGATCAAACTTGCTCCTCAGTAGTAATAGTTAGGGTGGTTGATTTTACGTGATGTCAACCCTTGTTGGGTTATTTTATGTTGAATTTTGTATGGGACACCGAGTGAGGATCAAACCTGCTCCTCAGTAGTAATAGTTAGGTGGTTGATTTTACGTGATGTCAACCCTTGTTGGGTTATTTTATGTTGAATTTTGTATGGGACACCGAGTGAGGATCAAACCTGCTCCTCAGTAGTAATAGTTAGATTTTGGTTGATTTTACGTCATGTCAACCCTTAATGGGTTATTATATGTTGAATTTTGTATGGGACACCGAGTGAGGATCAAACCTGCTCCTCAGTAGTAATAGTTAGGTGGTTGATTTTACGTGATGTCAACCCTTGTTGGGTTATTTTATGTTGAATTTTGTATGGGATAGCGAGTGAGGATCAAACTTGCTCCTCAGTAGTAATAGTTAGGGTGGTTGATTTTACGTGATGTCAACCCTTGTTGGGTTATTTTATGTTGAATTTTGTATGGGGACACCGAGTGAGGATCAAACCTGCTCCTCAGTAGTAATAGTTGGGGGTGGTTGATTTTACGTCATGTCAACCCTTAATGGGTTATTATATGTTGAATTTTGTATGGGACACCGAGTGAGGATCAAACCTGCTCTTCAGTAGTAATAGTTACGGTGGTTGATTTTACGTGATGTCAACCCTTGTTGGGTTATTATATGTTGAATTTTGTATGGGACACCGAGTGAGGATCAAACTTACTCCTCCGTAGTAATAGTTAGGGTGGTTGATTTTACGACATGCCAACCGTTGCTGGTTATTTAATGTCTAACTTTCGTTTGTGGCACCCAGGGAAAAACGAACGAACGACCTATTAGCAGTAGTCAACAAAACCTCGCTCATTTTTACCTAATACCAAGGTACCAATTGGAAATAATTTATATTATAAAAGAATTCACAATATATTTCTTTAGGAAAATCATTACCATTCCTTATAAATAATTGACCTATTTTGTCTATAGAACATAATGGATTCCAGACAATCCATTTTAACGATTTTCAAATTAAAATATATCGACTGATTGCTGGAACCTATAAAAAAGCAAAAAACAAAAAAAAATCGCGGTCATAATATATATATATATATATATATATATATATATATATAGTGTGTCTATATTTCTGAGATGAGATATTATGTACATTATTTACATTATTCGGACTAATGTCCTCACCTTTGTCACCATATTCATCACAACGTTTCGGCTGTTGTACGCCCCGACCTTCTTCAGGTGGTTGGAATTTCGAACTGAACCTTTTATTTCGTTCACTGGGGTAGACTGTTCTAGTTCCACGTGCCATGTTTTTGATGGATGCCAGTTATTAGTTATCTCCTGCTAATTTCCCTCTGAAAGTTCTCCACTGCCTTAACCGGGTATTGAACTCACATTCTTCGGGTCCTGTCACTGGATCTAACCAACTAACTACCGCCTTTATCCACTGTGCCACTGCCTAAACCGGGTATTGAACTGAATACCCGGTTAAGGCAGTGGAGAACTTTCAGAGGGAAATTAGCAGGAGATAACTGACATCCATCAAAAACATGGCACGTGGAACTAGAACAGTCTACCCCAGTGAGCGAAATAAAGGGTTCAGTTCGAAATTCCAATCACCTGAAGAAGGCCGGAGCGTACAAGGGCCGAAACGTTGTGATAAATATGGCGATAAAGGTGAGGACATTAGTCCGAATAATGTAAATAATATATATATAGTGCTCCCCTCCTACAAAATTGACTGAACTTAAGCGGTATCAAGGAGGAGAATGGAAAAATCAGTTTTCGACGAAAGAGATAACTAAAATCTTGTCCATCGAAACAGATACAAATCCTGTAGGCACAAAAATGAACTCGGTTGTCTTGACATATATTTTTCATGGCTCTCCACAACTTCCTTTGTAGCTTTTACTAAAGTTTGGCTTTTTGGTACCTCACTTAACCCCTGTTCTGCCAACAGAAGCTTGTTTCGCTGCTTTCTTTTGTCTCTCTTGCCTACAAGAGATTTGATACTGTCTGTACCAAAATTCTCCAAGCCCCTCTTCTATATTTTGTATCGCTGAAATTTCATTTGTCTCTTTCTGACTCTAATTATAATTGTCTTTTTTGTTTCCATTTTTCCTTAAAACTTCCTCATTACTCATATGTTCAGTCCATGATATTCTCAGTATTTTTATGTCTCTTCTTCGCTCGAGAGTAGATTGTCCAGCCTTCATTTCCATAGAAGAGGACTGATATTACATAACAGTTCAGTTTGGATTATCTTTGAATCGGTAAATAAATTTAATTGTGTTACTTATTGCTTTAACTTGTGCTTGAGAAATGATCGAAAAGGCCGAGTCAAAATTGACTGGAACCTTTACAACGACAACTCATCAGTTCAGACGTTTTTTTTCAGAAAACAACATGGCGGTCGCCTCTCATCGTCTCTAAGCACCCGATCTTGGTACCTGAAGCATTTTTATACTTCTGTATGATTAATTACATGAAAGGTAATCCTCTTGCTGACGTCGATCATTGGGAAGAAATCTCTGGAGCCTATGAAGAAAATTCGCAGTGAAGAATTCCAAAAATGTATCTAGCTTGTGTGGAAAAACCGCTGAGACAAGTCACTTTAGTCAATGTCTATATTTCTGAGATGTACACCATTTACATTATTCGGACTATTGTTCGCATCTTTGTTGCCATATTTATCACAACATTTCGGCCGTTGTATCTCCTTAAGGACACATGGCACAACGGATAAAGGTATTGGTTAGATCCAGTGACAGGACCCAAAGAATGTGAGTTCAATGCCTGGTTAAGGCAGTGGAGAACTTGGAGAGGTTAATTAACAGGAGATAACTGATAAATGACATCCATTAGACATGGCATGTAGAACTAGAACAGTCTACCACAGTGAGCGAAATAAAGAGTTCAGTTCGAAATTCCAACCACCTGAAGAAGGCCGGAGTGTACAACGGCCGAAATGTTGTGATAAATATGGCGACAAAGATGAGGACAATAGTCCGAATAATGTAATATATATATATATATATATATATATATATATATATATATATATATATATATATATATATATATGGGATACCGATATATACATTTTTATACATCAAGAACAATTCTGGAGGAAAATATGACAAAGTGGAAAAAAGTTTTTGTGTGACGAAATTCGTTCTTCATGAATTCCCAAAGAACGAAACGCGTAACACGAAAACTTTTCCCACTATATATATATATATATATATATATATATATATATATATATATATATATATACACACACACACACACACACACACACATATATATATATATATATATATATATATATATATATATATATATACACAAACTACAGTTCAAAAGTTTGACTTATTCTGTCTATAGAAATTAATGAATTCCTGACAATCCATGTTCCCGAGTTTCAATGTAAAATATGCCTTCTTCTGTCTTAACTATAACTTAGCTAGCCGCAAACACTGACCCAATCGTACGAACAATACACACCAAAACAACACATTCATACGTACCTTTCTTACTACAATCACCATAATACCTCATTGTCTCTATGAAAATACTAACTAGTCCCCATATTTACAATTCATTGTCTGTGGTGGGGAGGGGAATAAAACATCAAGTAGGAAAGCTCATCAGAAAAATTTACAGAAAAGACTCAGGCAGTTGGGAAGTGATTGATAACGAGATGCTATGTCAGGATCGATAACATATTCTTTGGATTTTTCCGATGATCACGAGATACATAGCAGGGGCACCAGATCAAATATGACAGCAATATTCAATGCTCGGACGAATGGTAGATTTATAAATCAGCCAGCCGAATTAGCCGCACCTACAAGTTGATCGAACGATTACAACACAGTTCGTCTACAAAACTCTGGAATCGGGGTGCTTAATATAATATCAATCAGCTGAGTGACAAATTTTACAAGAGAAAGAACATGAGTGATTTTAAAAAAAAATTCGTTTAACATTTTATATTCTTCGTTTTAAGTGTCTGATATTTGAGATGGAAATCTTTCAAAATAGGTAGAAAATAAATGAAAGAAATTGTTTTGATCCTTTCTTTCGGCATGTCGACAGCTTGGGGGAAAATAACATAAGCTTTAATTATTTTAAACGCACATAAATGCATACAAACACAACACATTTTTCGTTATCCATCTGAAGAAGCCATAGAGGCGAAATGCATTATTGGATATTATTTTCAAAATTTACTTTCATGAACGTTTATCAAAATATAAATAACTTATAACTCTGTCGGAATTACATACTGTAATTTATTACATAATGTCGACATGGAGAACGCAAGGATAAAAACAATTACTTTCATTTATGTTTTGCCAATTCTGAAGAATTTCCATATCAAAACTCGGACATTTAAAACGGAGAATATAAAATGTTAAACGGTTTTTTTTTTTAAGTCGCTCATTTTCTTTCTCTTTTTAGTCTCGAGCAACGTCAGCTTGGGAAAAAATATTGTAAGATTTAATTTTAAACACACACAAATGCATACACACACAACACATTTTTCGTTATCCATCTGATGAAGCCATATTCGTGAAATGCATTATCGGGTATTATTTTCGAAACTTACTTTCATGAAAGATTTTCCAAATGTGAATAATTTGATCATTTGTTTTCATTTAATTGAAAATGATTTTTATTCTTTCAGCTTTCATTCATGTAAAGTTTGCATTTTTGTTCTTTCTTTTCAACTTTCATTCTCTCTGTTTGTTATTCCGACTTTCTTTCTTTGATTTCGATGTCCACTCATTCATTCATTATTCCTTTTTTTTCTGTCTTTCTTTGATTTTTTCATTATTTCATTCATTCACTCTTTCTTTGCTTTTTAATTGCCATTCACTTTTTGATACCGTTTTTATTTCTTTGTTTGGTTACGTTCTTCCATTTCTTTCTTTTTTCTTTCTTTCCTTCAGTTCTTTCTATCATTTTGTAATTCCAGCTTTCTTTCTTTGTTTCTTAATTTATTCGATTTCATAATTTCTTTCTTTCTTTCTTTATTCGATTTCATAATTTCTTTCTTTCTTTCTTTCTTTATTAATTTATTCGATTTCATAATTTCTTTCTTTCTTTATTAATTTATTCGATTTCATAATTTCTTTTCTTTCTTTCTTAATTTATTCGATTTCATAATTTCTTTCTTTTCTTTTCTTTCTTTCTTTCTTTATTAATTTATTCGATTTCATAATTTCTTTCTTTCTTTCTTTATTCGATTTCATAATTTCTTTCTTTCTTTCTTTCTTTATTAATTTATTCGATTTCATAATTTCTTTCTTTCTTTATTAATTTATTCGATTTCATAATTTCTTTCTTTCTTTCTTAATTTATTCGATTTCATAATTTCTTTCTTTCTTTCTTTCTTTCTTTCTTTATTAATTTATTCGATTTCATAATTTCTTTCTTTCTTTCTTTATTCGATTTCATAATTTCTTTCTTTCTTTCTTTCTTTATTAATTTATTCGATTTCATAATTTCTTTCTTTCTTTCTTTCTTTATTAATTTATTCGATTTCATAATTTCTTTCTTTCTTTCTTAATTTATTCGATTTCATAATTTCTTTCTTTCTTTCTTTCTTTCTTTCTTTCTTTATTAATTTATTCGATTTCATAATTTCTTTCTTTCTTTATTAATTCATTCAATTTCATAATTTCTTTCTTTCTTTCTTCGATTTCATAATTAATTTATTTTCTTCTTTCTTTTTTTCATTCTTTCTTTCCTGCTTTCATTTAACCTTGTTTACTTTAACAGCTTAATCTTTTCCCCACACATTCTCTCTTTCTATCGCATTACGATACAATGATCAGTAAGTTAGAATTTTCAGGTTCGATCCTCAGTGACCACTCTGCAGTCGTAGCCTTGTGCCTCCAAATCAAGCTAAGCTTAATAAAAATAAGGGCATATAATATTGGGGTTGAGGTTATTGATAATATCTGCTTAAACATTAATGACCAGTGAGTTCGGTCCTCACTGGGTGCCTCATAGTAGTGTCCGTTTGCCAAATTCAGCTAAGCTGAGTAAATAAAAATCGTTTCGCGGGCATTTTATGAGACCTGAATCCAAATTAATTAAAGCTCCCTTCAAAGGGGCCGGTTCCCAATGTGACATCTTCCTATTTGCATTTAGAGGATACAGCCATATGTACACCTAATGTCTGAGGCATCCCCAAAATGCAAGTGCCGAGTGAAAGTAAATATATAAAATATAAATCTCGTAAATATATATTAAGCTAGTAACTATATAAATATAACGTTCGTAACTATAAGAATTCTAAGCTAATAATTATAGTAATGGCAGTATTAGACGTTTCCTTATAAGGAAATAATCAGTATTCATTGACCGAGCAGTCAATGCTACTTTCGGTTGAAATTTATTAAATCATTCTCTGAAAACTATTAAGAAAAAAGGTTTCTCGTGTCCAGTAACTGTTATTGCTCTTTCCAGTATTGACTGGGGCTTTCGTTCTGACCTTTTGCTTGAAGCTTATACTTAGAATCAAAAAGAGTCCGTTGAAATTTCAATGGCACATAATGAGGAAGTTGGGCTTAGAGAATTTAACACTCACAGGACATAAGGAAGGGAAGAGTGACAGAGAAAGGCAGCGAATAGCTTACTTAACTATTTTATGAAAATGGTAGGCAGGAAAATGATAAAGAGGTTTAGTAAAAGTATAAAACTACAAAGGACAGGAAGCTGTGGAGAGCCATGACTTTCATGTCTTGAAAGATCATGGGCACAGAAGAAGGAGTGTGGAAGTTAACATCTTAATTATGTCATTATTTCCTCTTCGAGTTAAATGTACAATTCATTTTAGTTGTTGCTGCTGTTGAAGGTCTTCAAGTAATGTAATTTCTATTATTTAGTACAATTCTTTGCGATTATGTAGCGCCAGTCCATGAGGTTCGTATAAGGATGGTTCTCGCTAAGAGCGACGGGTTGCAATCGCTTGAAACCGTTTTCAACCATTGATCTGAGAAAGCGTTTGTATACATTTGGTATATATCCAGCATACAATATAGACAAAATAAATAATTGAACGATTTCTTACATGTACGCGACTGAGACCCCAAATTAAATATGGCCTTGTGTCATACCCTTACATTTTCTTTTTTTCTTTTTATATTATTTGAGTTCGTTTCTTTGATATATTTAAAAAAATTACAGTATGTTATTTTATTTTACCTCTAGCCGAAAATACGGTGTTCAAAATTTAGCGTCCCTGGCACACTTTAATCTCAAAAGAGGCCACAAATTCCTTACATCAACCATCTCAACTTTCCCTGTTCATCGCCGGGCCTTCTCATTAATCATTTAAACATTTGCCTTGCAGTGGCTTCCAAAATTTGCTGCACCTGTGGAATGACTACAAAACTAAGTTAGAGGCAAGTTAGTAACATTTATTATCACATATCTACCTAATGCGGCACCTTGAATAAAATGAATGTAATCTGTAAATATGATCTACAAGACAAACTC